CGCCGTTTTGGGGCAACTTGAAGGGAGAGTTTGACTCTGACGAGCCAATGATCTGTGTCACAGTGGTCTGAGCCACGCATGGCTCAGGTGATGAGGACATCTCGGCGATCTCTTTCTCTGACAATGATGTAGTCAATGAGATGCCAATGTTTGGATTGCAGGTGTTGCCAAGAACCATTGAACTTGTCGGCCTGCCTAAACCAGGTGTTGGTGATAATGAGGTTGTGTTCAACACTCTTGCTGAGGAGTAGGTCGTTGGGATTACACTTGCCTGCTCCGTTTCTCTTTATGGTTCCTTGCCATATGTCAGCATCTCTGCCAACTCTGGCATTGAAGTCACCTAGAAGCACTGATGAAGAAGGCATGACGTGAGTGTTTTTTGGGGGGCAGAGGGGCGGTTAAGGTGGGGAAAGGATAAAAGGCATGCTGGGGCTCAAGGCACAGCCAGATATGAAGGATATAGAAGTCATGACAAATAGTCATGGGAGAAAAGGTTGGAAAAGAAGTTTAATGAGTTAAACATATTACAGAGTTCACTGACCGAGGGTCCGCTCACACTTGCAAACCTGCAGTATCCTTTCATATCTGCAGGTAGGACAACTTCCAATCCCAAATCCGGTCTGGCTGCTCCAAGAGCCGAGCTCCAGCCGGAACCACCAAACAGGCCGCCTACAGGCAAAGGCCCATGTCGGACTAGGGTCCGACAATCTCAACAACAACAACAATGGCTGTGGAGCTCATTCTACTCTACTCTCCAGAACCAGCAAGACCTCCCAACAAGCTCCTCACCAACCAGCTCCCTCAGCAAGCTCCTCACCCAACAGGACCTCTGAGCACTGCACTGTACATACATTATATATATACAGAAAACGATTTGTGAGTTTTTATTCTTACCTCCATCCTGAGTGTGAGATATCTTACATGTACGTACGTATGTGAGCCCATACAAAGAGAAATAGACAAACAAAGAGATCTTGACAACTGGCCACATACAGTACGCTACACTGTCACGTGTACTGTAGTATTGCGTGCACTGAGGGAATGGCACTCTGTCAACACACTACCTTAGAGTAGCCTCCATCCACGTCTGTCTGTTTCACATAACACTCAACATTTCTTGTTTTATTAATATAGCAATTATTATTACGTGCGATCACTGTGTTCGACGGATTATATAGTAATAATAAAAGAAGCATCAACAGTGAAGGAGCCTTCACATATACAAGTACTACTGGTTCCTGCTGATTCAAGACAACAGGTATTAACGAAAACTACATCTATTGGATTATTTTATTTACCAATTGATTATTCCGTACTTACCAGCTTACTAGTCGTTCGGACATTGACGTGCTCTTTGTTACTTTGTTATGACCTTTATTGTCCAGTGTTAGCACTGGTGGAAACCGGAGAAAACCTAAATGTTTGGTCGAGTTACACCGGATAACACCTTTCTCAAGGTTCATCGGGGCCCTCATGAAAGATACTTTTTCAGGGGCGGTTCCAGGAATATCAAAGGGGGATGGTCCAAGAAGTTTTGGGTGCTGGAACATGGCGAGCTCAGCAAGCCCACCCAAAAAGCAACTGGCCATTTTGAAGCCATGCGCACTTGATATTAGGAGATACAGTATTTTTACTATATAAAAATGCCTGAGTACAATACTGCAGAGTGTACGTCAGCACAATTCTAAAACTATTGTCTACAAAATCCGCCATCTCAAGTTCCTGAAACTTACTACTTCTGAGCTGATTTTTTTTTTTTATTTTTTTTTTACACGACGTTCATAATTATTTACTAAACTACCCTATGCGTCCCATGCTTGGTCTTCTTGCATAACTGTAATACAGCGAGGGCTCTAGAGAGAGTGCAGAAAGGGGCGCCAATACTATTCTCTCCCTCTTACACAAGAGGCTTTCAGTGCACTGGCCCGCTCAACTCCCTCCAATAATCATTGACATCATCTGTCAGTTTGGGACAAGTTGCTATACCATCCTCGCCACTGCCACTTGCTACCACCTGAGATTACCCATTCCAACCATTGTAATATTCTTCAACAATTCGCAGATAATTTGTGTTCACTCTTTGCAAATCTCCCTTTTGTACTGTAACTAAGTTGAAATTCCTTGTTAAATGACCCTTTCCATAATTTCAATATATGTTCTATAAGTACCCCTTATGTCTTTTGCATATTTAGTCCAGTCAAATTAGCACGAAAACCAGTAAATAGCAGAAAAATATATAAAAAGTCTACATTTTACACACATACTCCTGACGGTTATGCAAATAAAGATCAAAAGAGTTCCCCTCCGTCCGACTGCAGCAACCCCCCTTTTGGGGGGCCCAACCCCCTCTGAGGAGGGCTTTTTTTATTACATTTCCGTATTGTTTGGAAAACGGTGCATCGGACGAGAAAAGTTTATATATAAAAAAATATTGTAAATAAAATTCTGCACAAGATTGTTAATATGCATTTTTTTCCCAAAGAGTGCTAGTTTTTGCATAAACAAGACCGGAAGTGGAAGGCAAGTTTGAGCGTAGATAAAGATATTTCCGTCTCTCGCTCAGTTTCCCATCAATAACTCTCAAACGATTAATATCATTAAAAATGCACATAAATGAAATTGTAGAGTAGGAACTACTCTATTTGGATAGACGAGATATAAGTTTTATGATGTTTTAAATGTTTTCCGATTCATCCTTATATAACGGAGACTCATTTCCACACCACCCATGAGGTAGAGTCTTTGGTGCGTGTTTTCTTTTTCTTTTTTCCGAGTGGTGTCTCCAGTAGACCTAATCCACTAATTTCTTGCTTAAGATGCTTTCATTAAAGGGCAGTAACTTCCTCATCCTCTGATAAAATGAGGTCATCCGTGGGATTTTCTATGGATGTGGAATTTAGGCAGGCCTGACCACTGCGATTAGTGCACATTGCAGAACAGCGTAAGCTAGCTTTTGCACAACGACACCGCTTCCTACACCCTCATCTGCAACCACATGAAATAAATTTTAAGACCTTTACTGGCACTGGTGCCTCAGTTGTGTAGATGGGTGACAGAGAATCTTTTTTCCATTCCCACAACTCTTTACTTTTATCCTCTTCACCAATTGATCGGCTCGTTAGCCGCTTGGGCGATCGGTCAGGTCTCTGTTACGCACTGTTGGCAAGTACTAGGCATGCACCGGCTCCTGAATTACCTGAACCAGCTCCAGTGTTGGTCAAGTCTTGTCTTGAAAGAGCTCACACTTGGTGCCGTCACAACATTTTCTGGTAGATTTTTCCAAGAGTTTACAACCCTCACTCCGAAAAAGTTTGCCCTCAGTTTTCTGGACTTGCGGCTTCTTCAATCTTGAGCTGTGACCCCTTGTAGGGCGAGCGTCCGCCAGCTCCAAGTAAGGACACTCGACTGAGTAGTGCCCCTTGAGATGCTTATACACCTCAATTAGGTCACCCCTTGCCCGTCTGTAGTATAAGCTAGGCAAGTTCAGGCGCTCCAATCTCTCAGGTTAGCAGAGGTGCCAAAGTGCAGGCACCAGTCTGGTAGCTCTCCTTTGAACATTTTCAACCAACTGACAGTCCCTAGCATATTTCGGGGACCAGACAGGGTGACAGTACTCCAGATGGGAAAGTACTTCACTTTTGAAGATCGTTACGAGGGACGGACCGTCTAGATATCTGAACGACCTTATAAGACCCAATAATTTATTTGCCTGATTTACCTTGTTTTCGCAATGACCCGAGAACTTCAGCTTATTGTAAACATACACACCTAGGTCCTTCTCACATTCAGTCTCAACTAGTGCAGTTTCTTCATCCCGTTGGGACATATGATACGCCTCCTTACCGTTGGTACGCCCCAGGTGCATCCTTCTGCAGCTCTTAACAGTCCGCATGGTTCTTGATTTCCCGAAATAAATTGGCGTCATCGGCAAACATTTGTACAAGTGTACAACGTCAGGCATGTCATTTATGAAACAAACAAACAACAGCGGGCCCAATACACTTCCCTGTGGTACCACGCTTGTGACAGGTACAGAAGATGATTTCGTGCCATTATTCACCACACACTGCTTGCGGTCATGTAGAAATCTTCTATCCACGCTAGGACATTTCCTGAATTCCGTACCCTTCCAGTTTGATTTTCAGCCTTTCGTGGGGAAACTGTCAAAAGCCTTGGCAAAATCTAGATATTATTGTCGACATTACCACCCCGTTCCAGAATATGGGTCCAAATATCCAATATCTTGAGCAATTGTGTTAAGCAGGAGCGCCCCGGCATAAAACCGTGTTGGCAATTCTTTACAAGGTTGTTTCGTAGATGTTCCATCGCGGCATCTCTGATAATACTCTCAATTACTTTACATATTATGCTGGTCAGGCTCACCGGTCTGTAGTTGTTCGTGGAGTGATGATCGCCCTTCTTGAAGATAGGACTCGTATAAACCACTTTCCAATCACTGGGGACCTTTTGTTCATCCAGGCATATACAAAACAGGATCTCTTAGCACTCTGGAATGCACCATGGCAGGATCGGGACTCTTAAGGACCTTTAGCTTTGACAACTTATTTCTAATACCCTCTTCTATGAACACAGTGTGGGTCAGTGATGTGTCGAACCGTCTGTCCTCAAACGCAGGAAGGTTAATCGCATCCTCTCTTGTGAACACAGAGGAAAAGAAGCTGTTCAGTGCCTCAACTTTATCCTGGTCAGAATCTGCGGCTGTAGCGTTTCTCCTCGCTACGTTTGAACTTAGTGATAAAAACGATAACCTGATTTGAGTGACTGACAGATCTGTTAAATGATATAAATCTATAATAATTTGACTGGACTAATTATCAGCTTATGGCCGCAGTAATTTTCAGTAAACCGTTGAATATTATCATTATTAATGCACGCTTCAAATCGAACACACACACACACACACACACACACACTCATCTTAGAGCACAAGGAAGACAGCGTAACGCACTGAACGAAAGTGGCATCAGTAGTAGTGCGCGTTAGTAAACAATAGCGGGGCAGTGGCAGTGCCGCTCTCCACTTCATCTGGTACACAGCTACCGCTCTGTCCCTGGCCGCCTCGCTTATCGTTGCTTGTTCGTTGACGAATTCTGCCACGCCATATCGCATTCCTAGACTACAGGGTCTTAATGTACTATTGTATAGACATTATTCTCCTCGGTGAATGAAGAAGCGACAATCGTTAATTGATAGTTCGTGAAACGATATGTTACAAGTGTTGTCTAATGATGAGGATGGTCATGTCAACCTAGCAGTAGTTACTCAACAAAGCTCAACAGATTCCCATAAGAAACGTAAGTATGGCTTCAGTACTGGGTGTTCTCCTTATTTATACTCATTTTCTAACACACGCAAATAACAAACACAGTAGTTGATACTTGAAAAATTTCTGACATTTGGCAGACCCATAAACTTTACCTTCGTCCTTCGCGCGCCTAAATAAAGGAAATTATTGACAAACTCAACCAGTCTCTCGAGTTTCATAAAAGACCATACATATTTTTTTAATATAAATTAAAGCTCAGGCTACATTTTAATAATATATTCAGGTACATACAGTATAATTTCACCCAGCCATATTATAAATAACATCGGTAATTTTAATGAAACATATGTCTGTCGCATGTTGGCCGACTTAGAATAAATTAGGCAGGGGTTATTTGACCGATATCTAAAGTAAAACTAAGTACAGTGCTTCCAGCTCCAAAAAATCTGCACATATCATTGATAATTTCAAACTAATAGAAAAAAAAAAATTAAATAAAACCTATATACAAAATTAAGGTTAAAGGAAGATAAAATCAGATTAAATTCAGTTGCCCGTATCATCATTGGGTATGACTTTGCTTGGGAGATTGGTATCCCCGCATCCTGAGCAACGCTCTTATTATTATGCAGAAGACGACAGCAGCATATCCTCTACCCCTTAAGATGTCCCCACACACGCTTCCGTGACGCCTGCTGGACCACCACTCACGACTGACAGACACGATGATCCTCCCCATACTGGCCAGATATTTTGTAAATAATATTGATTATGTGTTAAAGAATATCCTTCCTTCCTTAGGCTTGTAAGCCCTTTATAAAATTTATACTGTATATACTTGTCACACTTGTCAGATGCTTCTGGTGTCATTGTACAGGGGTACCTAGTGACAGCACTAGGATCCGCCTCTATCAAGGAATAAACAATTGAAATTGAATTTAATTGAATAAATTCGAAATCAATTTGTTGAAAAAATAACATATCAATGATTAACAGTTATGAAACCGTTTTTGGGTGTCAGGTATAGACCTAAAAAATGTTGATGTAACCTAACCTTATCTAACTACATTATAATATAAAGTAAGCATGTAGTCCGTGAGAGAAGTGGACAACTCGGAGTGTCAAGACGATTAAAGAAGATCGTGATGAAGCATTCAACATTTAACATAGTGTAATGCCTCCAGCCAGCCTGACCAGAATCCCATTAAAATCATAGTCCCCGCGGACCCTGGTCAAATAGCAGGTGGTTATTCGGCCGGGAATACTGGTCAAATAACCACTTCGAATAAATTAAACTAAGGTGAAAGCTACACTGTCGGGTCAAATTTAAACGGTGCTGTGAAATGAAGACATATATATATATATATATATATATATATATATATATATATATATATATATATATATATGCGAGCATTAACCAACCACGATAGGGCATGTACCTTGCCCCACACTGTACTGTACTGTACATTTCACCATATAAAATAAATCTCGAGACCTTTTTTCCAGTCTCGGTCTCGGGAGTTTAGATATCGGTCTCGGACATTTTGTGGTCTTGGATTTTCGCTTGAAATTTTTCGCGACCATAAATTTATTTGTTAATTTACAGGTGTGTTGGGAGGGAGTTGTCGACCTATTAAGTTTAGGTTCAGGTAGGGGCGGTAACTCACTAATCCACTGTAAGTAAAGGTTTCCTGGGTCACGGTCAGTTTTCTCAGGAAACAATGTGACTCCAATTCAATCCTGGCAACAAAACAAGTTTTCACCACCGGTCAATCTGGCACTAGCCTTCTAACTGCACCTGTGTGTACAGTATGTAGCCGTGGGGATGAGAGTATACGTAACCGTGGAAGGTTGAGTGTGTATATAACCGTGGAAGGTTGAGTGTGTATATAACCGTGGAAGGTTGAGTGTGTATATAACCGTGGGGGGTTGAGTGTGTATATTTAACCGTGGGGGGTTGAGTGTATATTTAACCGTGGGGGGTTGAGTGTATATAACCGTGGGGGTTGAGTGTGTATATAACCGTGGGTTGAGTGTATATTAACCGTGGGGGGTTGGTGTATATTAACCGTGGGGGTTGAGTGTATAACCGTGGGGTTGAGTGTGTATATAACCGTGAGGGTTGAGTGTATATATAACTGTGAGGTTGAGTGTGTGTATAAAACGTGAGGGTTGAGTGTGTATATAACCGTGGGGTTTGAGTGTGTATATAACCGTGGGGGTTGAGTGTATATTTAACCGTGGGGGGTTGAGTGTATATTTAACCGTGGGGGTTGAGTGTATATTTAACCGTGGGGGTTGAGTGTATATTTAACCGTGGGGGTTTGATGTATATAACCGTGGGGGGTTTGGTGTGTATACCGTGGGGGTTGAGTGTATATTAACCGTGGGGGGTTGAGTGTATATATAACCGTGGGGGTTGAGTGTATATAACCGTAGGGTTGAGTGTGTATATAACCGTGGGGTTGAGTGTGTATATAACTGTGGGGTTGAGTGTGTATAAAACGTGAGGTTGAGTGTGTATATAACCGTGGGGGTTTGAGTGTATATAACCGTGGGGGTTGGTGTATATTAACCGTGGGGGGTTGAGTGTGTATATAACCGTGGGGGTTGGTGTGTATAAAACGTGAGGTTGAGTGTGTATATAACCGTGGGGGTTGGTGTGTAGTTGGTGTATATAACCGTGGGGTTGAGTGTGTATATAACCGTGGGGGTTGGTGTATATAACGTGAGGTTGAGGTGTATATAAGTAGGGGGTTGGTGTGTATATAACCGTGAAGGTTGAGTGTGTATATAACCGTGGAAGGTTGAGTGTGTATATAACCATGGAAGGTTGAGTGGTATATAACCGTGAAGGTTGAGTGTATATAACCGTGAAGGTTGAGTGTATATAACCGTAGAAGGTTGAGGTGTATATAACCGTGAAGGTTGAGTGTGCATATAACCGGGTGTTGAGTGTATATATAAACGTGAAGGTTGAGTGATAAAATGTGAAGGTTGAGTATATAAACATGAAGGTTGAGTGTGTATATAACCGTGAAGGTTGAGTGTGTATATAACCGTGGTTGAGTGTATATAACCGTGAAGGTTGAGGTATATAACCGTGAAGGTTGAGTGTGTATATAAACGTGGAAGGTTGAGTGTATATAAACCATGGAAGGTTGAGTGTATATAACCGTGAAGGTTGAGTGTGTATATAACCGTGAAGGTTGAGGTATATAAACGTAAGGTTGAGGTGTATATAACCGTGAAGGTTGAGTGTATATAACCGTGGGGTGTTGAGTGTATATATAACCGTGGGGGGTTGAGTGTATATATAACTGTGGGGTTGAGTGTGTATATAACCGTGAAGGTTGAGTGTGTATATAACCATGGAAGGTTGAGTGTGTATATAACCGTGAAGGTTGAGTGTATATAACCGTGAAGGTTGAGTGTATAAAACCGTGAAGGTTGAGTGTGTATATAACCGTGGGTGTTGAGGTATATATAACCGTGGGGGTTGAGTGTATATAACCATGGAAGGTTGAGTGTATATAACCATGGAAGGTTGAGTGTGTATATAACCGTGAAGGTTGAGTGTGTATATAAACGTGGAAGGTTGAGTGTATATAACCGTGAAGGTTGAGTGTATATAAATCGTGGAAGGTTGAGTGTGTATATAACCGTGAAGGTTGAGTGTGTATAAATCAGGAAGGTTGGTGTATATAACCGTGAAGGTTGAGTGTGTATATAACCGTGAAGGTTGAGTGTGTATATAACCGTAGTTGAGTGTGTATATAACTGTGGGGGTTGAGTGTGTATATAACCATGGAAGGTTGAGTGTGTATATAACCATGGAAGTTGAGTGTGTATATAACTGTGAAGGTTGAGTGTGTATATAACCGTGAAGGTTGAGTGTGTGTATATAACCGTGAAGGTTGAGTGTGTATATAACCGTAAGTTGAGTGTATATATAACCGTGGGGGTTGAGTGTGTATAACCGTGAAGGTTGAGGTGACAATCGTGAAGGTTGAGTGTATATAACCGTGGTGAGTGGGCAACCGTGGGGTTGAGGTGTATATAACCGTGGGGTGTTGAGGTATATATAACCGTGGGGGTTGGAGTATATATAACCGTGGGGGGTTGAGGTGTATATAACCGTGGAAGGTTGAGTGTGTATATAACCATGGAAGGTTGAGTGTATATATAACTATGGGGGTTGAGTGTGTATATAACCTATGGAAGGTTGAGTGTATATAACCATGGAAGGTTGAGTGTATATAACCGTGAAGGTTGAGTGTGTATATAACCGTGAAGGTTGAGGTATAACCGTGGGGGTTGAGGTATATAACCGTGGGGTGAGTGTGTATATAACCGTGGGGGTTGAGGTGTATAACCGTGAAGGTTGAGGTGTATATAACCGTGGAAGGTTGAGTGTGTATATAACCGTGGGGGGTTGAGTGTATATATAACCATGGGAAGGTTGAGTGTATATAACCATGGAAGGTTGAGTGTATATAACCGTGGGGGGTTGAGTGTGTATATAACCGTGAAGGTTGAGTGTGTATATAACCATGGAAGGTTGAGTGTATATAACCGTGGGGGTTGAGTGTGTATATAACCGTGAAGGTTGAGTGTATATATAACCATGAAGGTGAGTGTGTATATAACCATGAAGGTTGAGTGTATATAACCGTGGGGGTTGAGTGTGTATATAACCGTGAAGGTTGAGTGTGTATATAACCATGGAAGGTTGAGTGTATATATAACCGTGGGGGTTGAGTGTGTATATAACCGTGAAGGTTGAGTGTATATAACCATGGAAGGTTGAGTGTATATATAACCGTGGGGTTGAGTGTATATATAACCATGGAAGGTTGAGGTATATAACCGTGGAAGGTTGAGTGTATATATAAACATGGAAGGTTGAGTGTGTATATAACCATGAAGGTTGGAGGTGTATATAACCGTGGGGGTTGAGTGTATATAACCGGGAAGGTTGAGTGTATATATAACCATGAAGGTTGAGTGTATATATAACCGTGG